AGGCTCTTATACCAAACTGACACACACCCCGACCCAGAGGATCAAGGCGTGCTGGCTGTCACGTGAGCGTGACGTAACCAAAAGTGCGACACGGAAGCAAGATATAACAGAATATGAAGGAATTCAAACCAATCTCTAGTACCTACTAGAATAAAAGGATGAGTTATAAGGTAAACACATAAATTCAGAGCATAGGTCTAAGTGCAGTCAAGTAGGACCAAAATAAAATACATCACCCGCAGGTGAGTCCTACATGCAGAACGTCTATCAAAATGCCGTAAAAAGACCTCGAGAGCCACCAACCGCTAACTAGAACCTGGAGGGGCGCAAAACAAAGATGAGTGGGTCAGTAAAATCAAAGATTTTCCAAAACATTTCATTTAAAACATTTCTAACCCCTCACCGTAAAACCTGTATACTTTCCCAGAAAAATAGTAATATACACATATCATCAAAACTCAGCTCATATCCAACAACATAACATCTCAGAAATAATATGCCACGCCATGCCAAATATAATCAGAAATGCACCAATATCAATCAGGTGAAATAATAAATCAACCGGAGACCCTACAATGGTCATGTACGGCTGATTCTAAAGCTCAACATCCCACTCAACCGGAGTCACCATAGTAACCTATACGGCCCTGCCGGAGTCACCAACTGTGATCTGTACGGCACTACACTGCACATCACTCGGAACTACGTATAGTAGTCTGTACGATGAAAGGTGTATAAATACGCTCTCTAGTGCTTCTCTCATCAATCATCAGCGCGCATAACTAAGGTCACCCACTAGTCGGAATCACATCTAGTGATCTATACGACTAGCATGTCGGAACCCTCACATGGTCTGTACGACATCCACCTACTTGGATCCAAGACGAGCGTGCGGTGTGGTGAAATAATAATATAAGCACTAACACCTAGGGTGCAGGTTATGAGCTTTCAATGCAATTCTCATAAAATAACTCATCTGAATAATATAAAAACTCACATGTGCGTCCACCGCGTCAATTAACATATATATGCATCCATTATCAAACTAAATATCTCAACATTTGCATGCATGGCAATTTAAATCATAATTTTCATATAAACGCATTTTCTGGGAAAAACAGTTGTATATAGGTAATACGAAAACAAAACTGCCCACTCATTGATAAGTCGATGGGTCGTAACCCCCGTGACGTCCCTGGATGCGCTCGTCCTCGGGATAAGTGTCACCTATATGCGAAACAACTATAAAAACATTAATTTAAAACATAACCAACAATTCGAAATAACTTCTCATACGATGCTCAATTTGGGTATATGAATATACCACATCGACCTATTCGACGTCACGGACGTCGAGAAATTTTTAAATAAATTTTTGGAGGCCGCATGCGCCCCCACGGGCCAGGACAGGCACGGGGACACGCGCCCCCACACGCATCATCCCCAACCTTGGTTCGCCGGACTGGTTTTTTCCGACGGCCGGTTTCCGGCCAAACTTTAAACGCCTTATTCTCCTTTGTTTCTCAACCATTTTCTTCGTATTTTATACCAAAATGAAGCCCCAAACATGTAGAGTCACGATACACTATTTTTAAGCTCCAAAAACAACTAAATCTCACCGGAAAAATCCAAGCAAAACCGGCCAAACTCAACCCTCGTGATCCCGACGTCCAAATCCTTCAAACGAAGCACTCCGAGTTTCCTTGGGACCTCACTAAGCTCACTATAAGCTTAGAATTCCCTGAAACACAACATTTCACGTGTGCATGAACAGTGACCAAAAATGGGGGGTTCGGGTTCACGTGAAATCGAAGGTTCCACATCCTAAAACTAGCACCAATCAACTCAAACCATCACGAGGATGAAGATTCTTACCTTGTTTACTTCGATCCACTGAGTTTTGGGGGGTTTTGGGTGTGGCCGTACAATATGGGTGTGAGAGAGAGAGTGTCGAGATGGAGGAGAGAGAGAGAGCTACGGGATAGAGAGAGGGTAAGGGTTTAGATGGTCCCTTTCAATCCACACCATCCATCATCTAAATCCCTAACCAAAATTAACAAAAACCAAATTTAATAATCCAACTCATCTTATTTATTTTCTTCCAAAACATATCTAAGGTTAAACCAAATAATGTCACACACATACCTTAATACCCACTAAGGGTAAATCCGTCATTTCACGTCCTTAATAAGAAAATCCCGGGACGGGCTGTGACATGATTGATTTTCTCAAATGCATAATTGCTTCCTTACTAAGTAAATTAAGTATAACTTCTTTATCAATACATCTAACTTCATCTTGACTGATGCTACTTACAATCCTACTTCTGTTTTCAAATAAACCTAATTGGTACAAATTATATTTATTTTTCTGTGTTTTCTCAAATCATCTTCTATTAAATTCTTGTGCTTCTTCTTCATTTGGATAAATTTCTTCAGCTCTAACTACTTCTTTTCTCTCTTAAAGAGTTCCATTTTCTGTTATCAAAATGATTTATCTTAGGTCTTCTAATATGATTATTTGTACTTAAAGTTAAATTTTCTAATTTTTCTAACAAAAATGGTGGAAGTGATGGAGATGTGTTATGTAAAACTTGATTTATTTATGGTATTTGTTCTTCAACTTGATCTAATTTTTTAGCCAAACTTAAAAGTAATTGAATAATTAAATTAGTTTGCCTAATGGGAATATTACTACTAGCTACTTGTGTTGAAAAATCTGTTAAACCTACTGGTTCTTTATCTAGCTTACTAATTTCTTTCAAAGTTTGGATATATTTTCTGCTAGTTCTAGAATCGGTCATTAAACTAATAATTTATCTATTTTATTATGCAACTTATCTACTTGTTCACTCAACTCATTTTGCAATAATTGAATTTTTTTGAACTTCTAATCTTAATTGCTCAACTATTTCTAATGATCTGAGTTCTACTTGCTTAGGCTTACTATCTATGAGGTCAATAAGCTCTTTTATCTAATTTTGCTATTATTTTATTTTTACTCCAATGTAAATGTGGGTCTTCTCCTATGATCCTAGTTTGTTCTGGTAATTGTAATAATTCTTCTAAACTCTTTAATTTATCTAATTGTAATATTTTTATATGGGTTCTTTCTTCTAAAATCGGATATTCATGTTCAAATAATTCTTCATCAAACTCTTCTATGTTATTATGCTCATCATTTTCTTTTGAGTTTTCCAAATAATAACTATCTTGACTACTAAATTCTTCTACACTTATGCTTTTGTATGCTTCTACAGTATTACTTTGATCAGCTATTGTAATACCTCTTTTGAAAAAGGTTATGTTAAGGTTCATAAATAAAAAAAACCTTGCAAGCTTTTCAAGCAATTTAAACCTAAAATGAATGCGTATGATCCTACTGATGAAACAAATGTTAATGGTAAATTAAATTGTTGTTTTTCTACTTTAATAGACTCATTATTAATGCAATCTGTTAAGTAAACCGGTCTCTCATCAAACTATGTTATTCTTATTGGTTTTGCTAATTTTTGTCCATATTTTTCTGGTGCTAATTCTTCTCTTATGACACTCTTTGTATTCTCTGTATCTATCATAGCTGTTGTTTGTATCTTATGTTATTTTGCTAATTCTATTTCACAATTTATGGTAATTAAATAACTATTTTTTTGGCCTTTCTATACTATGAACAGTATTTCCTAATATTTCAGTACTTTCTTGTGATTCTACTGAATTAACTTCTAATAACCTATTACTGTAACACTTTTCACATAATATTGAATATGTATTATAGTATTTATTTGCAACTAACTTGCTACACTTATGACATTTTCTGGCCAACCTAAATTAATGTATTTATATTCTTCTTCATGTTGTTCTTCTATGAATGAACATATATACTCTTCTAAATCACCATTTGAACTACTTGAATCTTCAGAATCAAAATCTATCATATTAATACTCTCTATACTATAAATACTCACTCAGAAGTACCCTGATTAATGTCCAGTTATTTGTATGGCAAGCATTCAACTATAACAGAATGCTCGAACAAAGTATGATCGTCGGGTTAACAGGTTAATAATATATAATGAAAATAGTGTTTCCCTATTTTGGACTAGAAGTCTAATTGAACAAACACACTAAAGAAAGAAAAGAGAGCTTACTTAAGAATTGAAGATTGCTTGAATTTGTACACTTGAACTTTTATTGATGTATAGAATGTTTACAAAGGATGCTAGGAAGGTTTCGGATGCTTGAGTGTTTGTAGGTTGAAGTATGATGTGAGTATGGTGTTGAGGTATTGAGATGTTGAGGTGTGTTGTGTGTTATTTCGTGTATTCTGCATGGGAGGAAAAACTCCCTTATATACAAAACCTAATTCCTAAACAACAAAATAACTTTTCATCTATTTACAACTTTTTGAATAGTGACAGCACGAAAGTTGTCAGCATTATTTCTGAAAGCTGGCTGACTTGTCTTTGCTTTAATGAAGGTCATGTGAATTCATGTTGTCTTGGCTGTTGCAATGGCCACCTTAACTTTTGCATTCAAATGTTTTCTGAAAGTGTCAATCCTCCTTTTTCTTCTTTGGATGTATTCTTTGGTGAATACCACGTGAACTTTACTGAATACTTGGCCAATTTTGTATAGATATTTGAAGGGTAGCATTGGTATTTTTGAAAACTTTTGTCCTGATGATTAAAAGGAAACTTTTTTTGGGGCTTTTGGTTAGTTTTTCCCCCATTTTTTTTGTTGAAACATGGAATTTTGTTGATCTCTTCTATCTCAGATTAGTATATGTATTTTTCATTACGACGTGGTATGATATTAGAAGCATTTTGCCTTGTTTTATTTGAAGAGTAGTGGAAGAAAAGATAGAGAACTTCGACTTATAAAATATATATAGAAAAACATTTGGCCAATGTGGTTTGGACTATATTGTTTGGTAATTATCGTACTTTGCTTTGCAAAGAAACTTCCCTCTTCTGAAGAAATTGTTGATAGATTACGAGAGGCTGGACCCGAACACCGAACAGAATCCGAGGACCCGAATTTTATTAATGTAACAAAGACAAATATCCAAATACACACAAGTCCGTATCTATAACAAGACTACATAATCTGCATACATAATTAAGCTGACGAACAATCTGTTGATGTGCTCAGCCACTTATTTATACGGCGTCCGCAGCAGAATATTTCACAGGTTTACTGTTGCTCCTGTAACGAAAAGTATTCCGCAGAGGTTATCAAACCAGCATAATGAATATAGAAAGAACGACTGAGCACAAATTTCGAATTGTAGGTCAGCAAAAGAGAATGTACCAGGAATTTCTTCTTGTATTCTGCAACAATCTCCTTTGGATCAGCTTTGGTTACCTTGTATGCCTCAATCTTGTTGATTTCCTGCACAAGGATATATATAACAACCATAATAATCACCATCTTTATGAGATATTACAGAGGAGCACGTCCTCTATCGAATCCGATTTTAAGATAGTGGTTAACGGAGTGCTTTTGCTTAGAATTCTTGCTCGGAAACCACTTGAACAGCTAGCTTAGCCTCATGAAACGTTTAAGTTTGTTTTTAAAACAGATGAGAGACAGTCATCCCGTACATGGGATAAAGCTCAGACAATGGAATCCATGACATTCATTATACAATTCTATGACTTGTTAATGTACCTCCAAGAATGCTGCTAGTTTAGGCCTCCCAGCTGTGATGTCATACTTGAACACGTCTGATAAGAAGACTTGGAACTTCTCAACGAATGGGATATAGGCTATGTCCACCTGCATATCACAAATTTGTATCCATTACTTAAGCACTTATGTGTTACTACTAGCTCATTTTATTAGAAATACAAAAACATTAATTGGCATGTAGATACATTGTACATTCAACTTACCAAACTGAACTGACCCAGAAGATATGGCCCATCGTCAAATTTCTTAAGAGCATTTTCCAAGTAATCAAACTGCTCATCTGATGCAGTTAATCAAATTCGTTCAGCGTAAATTCATCAACAAAAACAGTCATTAACGGGAGAATCTTCCAAGTCTTACCAGCTGCTTTTACCGTGTCTCCTTTCAATGAGCGATACAAGGACCCCACGAAGGTATCAACATAAGTTAATAATTCTTCGCCAAACTTTTTTCTCTCAGGGTCATCCTAAAAACAATTTCGCAGCATCACTCTGGTCAAATTTCTGAGAGACAAAGTCATGTTACTTGAGGCACAATCAAATTCTAGATATCTTACACTGGGGACAAGTGAAGGCCCCTCAAAGTTGCTTTCGAGGTATTTGATCAGATCAAGACTTTCTCCAATGACTTTTCCATTGTGCTCCAGAGATGGTACCTATAAAAATAATCAATCAAGAGATTTATCCAGCTTCACCACATTTTCCACAGATAATCAATGGCAGCAAAGAAGAAGAGAACACTAATTTTTGCTCAAAATTTTACCTTGTTTCCGGGGTAGACTTTTTCCTTGTACCAAGCAGGCCTGTTTTCAAGATCTATACCCACTAACTTAATCTTGTCTTGCAAACCCTGCAACTCAAAAAATTTCAACAAAAACAAACAATAGACATGGGTTCTGATTAATTCTCAATTTACCAATTCATGAAATGATTTAAATTAAATAACGACGACGTATCCATCAAATATAGTGAAAAAAATCATTTCCACATTAGGGATTTGTATTTCATCATATTAGCCAATTTCTCAAACAACAAATTGAAGATCTTTATAACAGGGCCTTTGCCAGAAGCTCCAAAAACGAAAAATATGGTGAAAATAGAGAACAGACCTTATAGTTCCTAGTGATCCAAACCCGCTGTACAAATGGACATGTGTAATTTACGTACAGCCTTCAAAACACAAAGCAACCAATACACATCAAAACATGGTAATCACTGAACAAAACGGAGCTTAGTGAACAAAAACAGTGAGCAAAATGAGAAAAATAAAAAACAAGTGGCCAAAATTGAAATTCGGACGAGACAGAAGGCGAAAACAGCCTCAAAAATGTGTTTTATATCTTGGGAAAATTGGCTGAAATTATCACATTACAAATTTCAAATGCTGAAATAATCATTTTTCAGTATATATCGTGAGTATTTGAACGTATCAGTTGAGATATGGGATTTGTAATCAACCATTTCAGACCAAAAAAGTGGAGGAAAGAGGTAAACCTTGTAGTGCCGTCAAAGAGAGGAGGAGGGGAGGAAGTGGAATCCAACGGTGGAGGAAGTTCCTCATGCCTGCAACACCAAGAAACAAAACAATCTTGGATTAATTTTACAACAATAAAAAAAATCAGAAATTCAGATGGACCCAGAAAAAAGAAAGACCACGAAAATGAGAAATCGTACTTGTACGCCATTTTTGGTTCTCTGCAGAGATTTTTTGTTTTTTTGTTTTTTTTGGCAATCAGAATTTGGCGCAGAATGTGTCTGTGTACAAAGTGGGTGGCCGTTTTATAGAGGACTGTGAGATGGCGGTGGGAGTCGGCAGCAGTGACGAAATGGTTGCGTTTCTTTTTTTGGTCAAGGAAAATGGGAAATCGTACTTGTACACCATTTTTGGCAATTAGAATTTGGCGCAGAATGTGTCTGTGTACAAAGTGGGTGGCCGTTTAATAGGGACTGTGAGGTGGCGGTGGAGTCGCCAGCAGTGACGAAATGCTTTGTGTTTTTTTTTTTTTGGAAAAATTATTGAAAATAGTTTTAAAACTTTAAATCTTAACCAAAAATTAAGTGATAAGTTTATTTAATAGTTAGGACAAAACCTAAAATCAAATCAGCCCAATAAAACTAGCCCAAGAATATAATTTAGAAAGTTGCTAGACCCACCCCGTTGTCTTATTTTCCCACCCACGTTATATTTACACCCACTATAAAAAGTTAAAAAATTAAAATGTTATTTCCCCATCCACTATTATTCCTAAATAACCCTATATATATAATTAGAGATAAATTTCTCTTTTGAAAAGAATATAAACAAATAATATTACTCTTCTAATCATGATTCTCTTTGAACACAGCACACATCATCACCGTCGCAATCAGAAAAACGTATCCTTTGTATTTTAATCATGATTCTCTTTGCACACGGCACACATAATTTCATAGTTTGAATAATTTCATTCTCTATTTCCCTATCACTTTCTTATTTTGTATTGTCATAAACTCATTAAAAAACAAATTTACTGTCGATAGCAGTATGCAACAATTGAAGCTTAATTCGGCTTCAATTCTAACTTAAAGAGAGAGATTCCTTGGTGGGTCATCATCGTCACATTCAACATCTTAATGGACACCAACCTTCGAAGATCCCAGAGGAACCATGTTTGCACGCATATCCAGTTTTTTCAAAAACAACAAAAACAAAAAAATAGGGAGAGATAGGTGGTGCTTGTGGTAAGTACGGGGCTAATGAAAAATCAACCACGCCTCTTGCTATTTAGGTTTTCAATTCTAAATCAACCATGCCTACAGCAGTATGCAACAAATTTACCCTAACCTAATGAACGATGTCGACAGAGCTATGCTTCAATTCCAGAACTTCTCATTAAAAAAACAAATTGCACCCTAATCTAATGCAAATTCAAATAAAAAGTTACAGAGTTATGCTTCAATTGTACGATGTCGACAAATCAAGATGACCCACATAAAATTATCTTTTACCTCTTCGATAGAAACATAATCATCTACTTCTTCCATAGAAACCTCATCTTCTAAGTTCATTCCTTTTGCTTTCTCTGAATGATTTTGTTTTCTCTGAATGAAGGGAGATGGGAAGAATGAGTTAGGGTTTAAGGGAGACAAATTTTCTAAACATATTCTCACGTTCAAACTTTAATTTTTTCTTTTTTATAAAAAAAAAAGTAATGTAAAAGGGGGGTAACTAAAGTCCTTATTAGTCATTTTGCAAATGGACAAATTTGTAATTAAAAAAATTCATAAAAATGTGGGTGGGAAGATAAGACATTGAGGTGGGAATAACAGCTCTCATAATTTATTGAGCTTCCAATTTTAACCCTTACGTCAAGTCTTGCCATTTATTTGGCCTGTTTTGTTTCTCACCATCATCCGACCTTCTTCTCTGTCATATCAATGGGCTCCCATTTTACTTCGACGGGAGGCACGAAGAGATCCTTGCTCCTCAACGATCTCTTTGTCGAATTGCACGTGACCCGAACAATATGCTTCACGTCCTTCGAGCTGCCAACGAAGTTCCTTGGCAGAAACTGCAGCAGCCGTGAGTACTGGCTCGACGGCCGAGCGATTTTGCCGGAGGTGATTTTGTCGATGAACTCGTAGCTCCTAGAGGTGATTTTGCTAGAGGAGGAGCCGGATCTGATGACAACGACGTTCAAACGCTAACCTGCATCTTCTGAGCAGCGGCACTTGCACACCCAACATTTCTCCTCAAAACCCAGTCTCCCAGCTCCACTCAAGTGTTCCCTAGCTGAAGCAGCAGCAGCAGCTGATAGTTTCCCCTCAAATGATCAGCAACAACTAGAGGTATTACTTCAAATTAAATTCCCTCACTTTCATTGCGTTTTTTTTTTTTTTTTTTGGCAACTTCTTTTTCTTGGTTTGAGTATTGAATTGGTTTTTTCACATTTTGGGTGGACTCTAGAGCAGTAGGGAGCAAGGGGCTTTTGGAGAAAATGGAAGGGTTTAGTGGCTCTGGAATGTCATACTTGTGTTTGATGGCTCTGGATTTGTTTATATATACCCACAATTTTTTGTTTGAATGTGGCCATTTTTTAGAATTTGAAGCTCAATTTACAAGTTCTCTTAGTTTCCGTTGTTCTATTTCCATACAACTTTAAAAAAATTGTGAATCTAAAAGTTTAATTAACTGTAAGTATGAGAGTTGAATGTGGTAATAGATTGTATGAATGAGTGAATCTAATGATACATGTACTCGTAAAGTGTTTAGAGACGATTTGCGCATAATTCATTTCTCAGCATTTGTGATTTGGGTACAAATCTCTGCAATTGCTAGGGATTTGGTTATTTTTGTTTCCATCACAAGTTTTTTTTGTATGTATTTCGAACACAAGTTTTTTTTACTAGAACTATCACTATTTGTTAAATTGAACACTGACTATTTCTTAAATTGACTATTTACGGGTACTACACTATTTATGAAACTGACATGGGTACTGAACTATTTATTAAACTAATTGACTATTTATGAAACTGACACAAGTATACACTATTTATGAATCTGACTGACTATTTATGAAACTAACACATGTACAACACTATTTATTAAAATTGACTGACTATTTATGAAATTGTCACAGGTACTACACTATTTTTTAAACTGACTAACTATTCATGAAACTGACACATGTACTATACACTATTTATTAAACTGACTGACTATTTATGAAACTAACACATGTACTACATTATTTACGAAACTGACACAGGCACTACACTATGTTTATTAAACTAACTGACTATTTATGAAATTGACATGGGTGCTACACTACTTATTAAACTGACTGACTATTTATAAAACTACAACAAAAGAACCCACACTGTATCTGAAGCAGAACCAAAATAACCCATACTATTTCTGAAACTACAGTAAAATAACTCACACTATTTATAGAATTGCAACAAAATAACTCATACTATTTCTGAAACTAAACCAAAATAACACACACTATTTCTGGAAGAAAACAAAATAAACAATATTATGAAAATACAGCAAAATAACCAACACTGTTTCTGAAATTGAACCAAAATAAATCACATTATTTCTGGTACTATCGCAAAACTATTTATGAAACTGAACCAAAATATGTGACAACCCGTTCCTGAAATTTTTGTTTTTATTTTATTTTAATTGAGGGAATTGACTGAAATGCCCTAGAGGCAAGGATTTTGACTTTTGTTGACCATCGTCTAGAGGAACGTATGGCTTATTCTTTCAGCGTGTTTGTGTAGTACTCGTTGATACGAACGCATAGCGAAAGCCGCTTGCGAGTCCGAATTATAACGATATAGTTACAGGCGTTTGAAATTTTTTATTTAAAGTTAGTTAAATAATTGGAGCTCCCATTTTGTGGGGAGGAAGCCAATCAGATTTTTAAAGGAGGGTGAGGGGACCAATTAGGAGGAGGAGAAAGGAGGGAAAGGAGAGAGGGGAAAGAAGAGAGGATCGGCCAGATCCTTGACCCGCACCCTTCGACCCGTTTTCACCGTACTTTCTGGTGGTTTTCCACCGGATTTCTCATGAAGTGGACCAAGCCACCACTCCCAATCATCATCTAATCCTTCCTTTTTCCTATTTTCACCCAGATTTGGAAGGAATCTGAGAGTAATTTAAAGGTTTTTCAAGGGGGTGCGCCGGAGGTGGTGTTGCGGCAATCCGCCATTTCTGAAGTAAATCCCATCAACCACCACCACCATTAGACTCCCTAGAACCCTGGAACAAGGCCCAAACATTGGATGAGGCGTCGGAGTTCGTTTTGGTGGCGAATCGACAACTACCCAAATCGAGGGTCTCGTACGGTTCGTGGTGATTTGAGGTTTTTCTCGGCCCAATTGGCGTTAGTAGCAGTATAAATTGATTCCTCATGTTTTGTAGATGAATTTTCACGTTTGGATCGTGTGATTTGGTGGAGAAATGAGAAAGTTATAACAATTTAAAGTTTGCCCAGTTTCCGGCGACCTCCGCCACTTTCGAGTAGTGTTTCGGCCAAATCATGGCGAGATAGCTATCACGTAAGATAGCAATCTCTTCGTCTTGTCGAGAACTATGATTTCCATTTTTGAATCACCTGTTTTTGTTGAATATTGACAAAGTTATGGACATTAAAAGGTTGCCCAGAAATTCCAGCGAGTTACCAGTTTTCCCGCGGACAGCCGTCTTTCACAACATTTTCCAACCACCTCCGGCCATCATTTGGACTCCAAGCTGGTATAATTTTGTTCTACATTTCTCTAGCTTCGATTTGGTATATTATGGGTTGAATTTGGTTGAAAAACAAGTGAGATATGGAGTTCCAAAGATCGCCCAGGAAATCTGCAAAATCTGCAGAATCCGGCAAAGTTCCACTAAGGTCCACCACTTGATTAGGATAGTAATCAACGATCCGACCGTTGGATTGTCACCAAACTTTAGTAAGTTATAGTACGTAATATTTGAGAACAATAGAAACTTACGGATCGGGAATCCGACGTATGGATCTTCTCGAATTGGATTTGTAAATTTATAAAATAAATGTTAACCGCCACTTGGTTTTGGGCAATTGGCAGAGATCCGACCGTTGGATCGTAATGACATTTTAGTATGTTATTATAGAAGCATAATATGGATATTTGAAAGTTGCGGATTGGAAATCTGATATGCGGATCTTCCGGATTGAGTTATACAGGGTTGTGGACCCAACCGTCGATCTTCGATCGACGGTTGACTCTTGGTCAATGGGTCTCAAATTATTCTTGAAGTTCCTTGAGGATATGTTTTATGTAAATTATGTATTCTATTGGTAAGAACTCTATGATGTGATTTGATACTTG